AGCATTCCAGAGTTGGAAGGGACCTTGGAGGTCATCTAGCCCAGCCTCCCTGCTCAAGCAGGAGAACCTTACAGAATCCTAGAAGAACAGAGCTGGAAGGCACCTCGGAGGTCATCTAGTCCAACCCCCTGCTCGAGCAGGAGACCCTGATGGAATCATAGAGCTGGAAGGGACCTCGGAGGTCATCTAGTCCAGGCCCCTGCTCAAGCAGGAGAACCTTACAAAATCACAGAATGACAGAGCTGGAAGGGACCTTGGAGGTCATCTAGTCCAGCCCCCCTGCTCAAGCAGGAGAACCTTACAGAATCCTAGAAGAACAGAGCTGGAAGGCACCTCGGAGGTCATCTAGTCCAACCCCCTGCTCGAGCAGGAGACCCTGATGGAATCATAGAGCTGGAAGGGACCTCGGAGGTCATCTAGTCCAGCCCCCTGCTCGAGCAGGAGACCCTGACAGAATCCTAGGAGGACAGAGCTGGAAGGGACCTCGGGGGTCATCTAGTCCAGCCCCCTGCTCAAGCAGGAGAACCTTACAGAATCCTAGAAAAAAAGAGCTGGAAGGGACCTTGGAGGTCATCTAGTCCCAGCCCTGTTCTTCTAGGATTCTATCAAGGTCTCCTACTCGAGCACGGGGTTGGGCTAGATGACCTCCGAGATCCCTTCCCGCTCTGTTCCGTTTGAAAGGCTGCAGGGAGGAGGCGGGGAGGGGCGGAGGCAGGGGCACCCTGCAAGCGGCCCACCAAGAGCCGCTTTCTGTCAGGGTCTCGTGCTTGAGCAGGGGGTCGGACTAGATGACCTCCGAGGTCCCTTCCAGCTCTGCCGTTCTGTGATTCTCTCAGGGTCTCCTACTGGAGCAGGGGGGTCGGACTAGATGACCTCCGAGGTCCCTTCCAGCTCTTGTTATTCTGTAAGGGTCTCCTGCTCGAGCAGGGGGTCAGACTAGATGACCTCCGAGGTCCCTTCCAGCTCTGCCGTTCTGTGATTCTCTCAGGGTCTCCTGCCGGAGCAGGGGGGTCGGGCTAGATGACCTCCAAGGTCCCTTCCAGCTCTGTCCTTCTGTGATTCGGTCAGGGTCTCCTGCCGGAGCAGGGGGTCGGACTAGATGACCTCCGAGGTCCCTTCCAGCTCTTGTTATTCTGTCAGGGTCTCCTGCTCGAGCAGGGGTCGGACTAGATGACCTCCGAGGTCCCTTCCAGCTCTGCCGTTCTGTGGTTCTCTCAGGGTCTCCTACTGGAGCAGGGGGGTCGGACTAGATGACCTCCGAGGTCCCTTCCAGCTCTTGTTATTCTGTAAGGGTCTCCTGCTCAAGCAGGGGGTTGGACTAGATGACCTCCGAGGTCCCTTCCAGCTCTGTCCTTCAGTGATTCGGTCAGGGTCTTCTGCCGGAGCAGGGGGGTCGGACTAGATGACCTTCGAGGTCCCTTCCAGCTCTTGTTATTCTGTAAGGGTCTCCTGCTCGAGCAGGGGGTCGGACCAGATGACCTCCGAGGTCCCTTCCAGCTCTGTCGTTCTGTGATTCGGTCACGGTCTCCTGCCGGAGCAGGGGGGTCGGACTAGATGACCTCTAGGGTCACCTCCAAGTCTTTTCTGATGGAAGACCACGACCTGGTTCCGGAAGGGCTAGGAAGAGCCCCCACCCCGGCTCACAGACACACAGACACACACACAACCGTTTCAGCAAGAAGAAATTCACTCTCTCAGCCAATCGGGGGAGGGGGGGTGGGAGAGACCCCGCCCCCTCCCCTCCCTGCCCCGCCCACCCCTGCCTAGAGAAGGGCGATCTCCTCCGGCAGAAGCGAAAGTAGCCCGAAGCCCGTCGGGGGAAGCAGCGAGTGAGAGGCAAGCGCGACCCCCTCCCCACCGACCGCTAGACTCGCTCAGGTGGGCGTCCGACAGGTCGAGCGGGGTGGAAAGAGGGCAGGGAGGGGGGGGCAGTCGCGACCCCTCCCCTTTCCAGCAGGCAGGAGGAGCAGGGGGAGTGGGTGGGTGTGGGGGGGTCCCTGGGGGTCCCCCTTCTCCCCCCCGCCCTCCTTGGTCAAGGAGTGAACGGGGAGGGGGGGTCACTTTTCAAGAAAGTTGGAGGACTTGGGGTCCGGCAGGGCGAAGGGCGGTGGGGGGGGGATTGAGGGGGGGGCGAGGGGGCTTCAGCTGCCCTCCCCAATCAGGAAGACCTTTCCTAACGACCCCCCCCCCAAAAAAAACATCCTTCGGGAGATGCGCTTCTGTCTCTCTCCGCCCCGAAGAGACTGGAATGCCATCTGTCAGAAATGGTTGTAGGGGTTTGACTAGATGACCTCCCAGGCCCTTTTCAACTCTTCTGTCCTGTCCTGTCCTATTCTGTTCTGTTCCGTTCTTTATTCTATTCCATTCTTCATTCTATTCTATTTCATTCTTTATTCTATTCTTTATTCTATTCTATATTCTATTCTATTCCATTCCATTCCATTCTATTCTGTATTATATTCTTAATCCTATTCTATAATATTCTATTCTATTCTATTCTTAATCCTATTGTATTTAATTCTATTCTGTTCTGTAATATTATATTCTTTATTATATTTTATATTCTGTTCTATTCTATATTCTGTTCTATTTTGTTCTATTCTATATTCTATTCTATTCTATTCTTAATCTTATTCTATTTAATTCTATTCTGTTCTGTAATGTTATATTCTTTATTATAATCTATATTCTATTCCATTCCATTCCATTCTATTCTATTCTGTATTCTATTCTATTCTTTATTCTATTCTATTCTATTCTATTCTATATTCTGTTGTATTCTATATTCTGTTCTATTCTATTCTCTATTCTATTCTATTCTATTCTGTATTCTATTATATTCTCTATTCTATTCTATTCTATTCTATTCTATTCTATATTCTGTTATATTTTCTATTCTATTCTATTCTATTCTATTCTATTCTATTCTATTCTATTCTGTTCCTATATTCTGTTCTACTCTATTCTATATTCTATTCTTAATTCTATTCTTAACTCTATCCTACCCTATCCTATCCTGTTCTGTGGAGGAGGCTGAGGAAGGGGTGGGGGATTAAGCCTTGAGGCCCGGTGGGGCAGTGGATGATGGGCAGGCACGGGAGACAGGGCCGAGGCGCTGGTGCAACTCTGGGGGGGGGGACCGTCCGGCCGTCCAATGGAGACCTTGGAGACTTGACTGTACGGAGCAGGACGTTGCCCGACGTTTTGAGGATCGGGGCCTATATCGTTTTGTCTCCCCCCCCCCCAAAGTGTGGGACCACAAGAGTGGAAGGGAGGATTGAAAAGGAGGAGGGGAGTGGACCAAATGGGTCAGCCTCAAGGGGGGGTGAGGAAGGGGGTGGGGCTTCTTTTAAGCCCCTCCCCCTCCAATTCCTGCTTTTGCCTTCTGGGGGAGGAGAGCTGGTGGCTATAACCAAGCGAAGACGGCCTCTCCGTCGGCTGATTGATGTTTCTCTTTTTATCCAGACGATTCTCCCGGGTGTTGTGCCATACGACGTCTGGAAATGGCTGGAAGCATCCAAGGTAAAGTCTTGGCTCCTGGGGTGGGTGCGTGGGGAGGGGTGAGGTGAGGTGGGGTGGGAGCTGCGGTCTTGGGTGGAGGCACAGGCCACGATGCCCTTCTGCGCGTCAAGCGCCGAGGGGGGTAGAAATCAGGAGTCTCCAGCGGTTCGAATGAGTGATCAAGATGTATTGCAAGCTTCGGGTTTTCGCTACAAGAACCTGACCTACTAACGGATCCATTGGAAATGAGCGGGAGATAAGATAAGAAAGGCATTTATGGTGGGCTGGATTTAGATTTAGATCTCTTGCGGGCGCGCAGGGATTTGCGACTGATGACGCGTTTGACATCTCCCTCGGGCTCGGCCTGGTTATCTCCTACGATGGATGGACGGATGGATGGATGACAGATAAATCGTAGAAGAGAGAGAGAAATTATAGATGATGATAATAATAATAATAATAATAATAATAATAATAATAATAATAATAATAATAATAATAATAATAGTAAAGTTGGAAGGGACCTTGAAGGTCATCTAGTCCAACCCCCTGCTCAGGCAGGAAACCCTATACCATTTCGGACAAATGGCTGTCCAGTCTCTTAAAAACTTCCAGTGTTGGAGCATTCACTGCTTCTGGAGGCAGGTGGTTCCACTGGTTAATTGTTCTCACTGTCAGGAAGTTTCTCCTTAGTTCTAGATTGCTTCTCTCCTTGATTAGTTTCCACCCGTTGCTTCTTGTCCTGCCTTCAGGCGCTTTGGAGAAGAGCTTGACTCCCTCTTCTTTATGGCAACCCCTGAGATATTGGAAGACTGCTATCCTGTCCCCCCTCGTCCTTCTCTTCATTAAACTAGACATCCCCAATTCCAGCAGCCGTTCCTTATATGCTTTAGCCTCCAGTCCCCTAATCATCTTTGTTGCTCTTCTCTGTACTCTTTCTAAAGTCTCAACATCTTTTTTACATCGCGGTGACCAAAACTGGATGCCGTGTTCCAAGTGTGGCCTTACCAAGGCATTGTAAAGTGGTATTAACACTTCACGTGATCTTGATTCTATCCCTCTGTTAATGCAGCCTAGCACTGTGTTGGCCTTTTTGGCAGCTGCAGCACACTGCTGGCTCATATTTAGGAGATTGTCCACTAGGACTCCGAGGTCCCTCTCACAGTTACTACTATTGAGCAAGGTGCCACCTATGCTGTACTTGTGCAATTGGTTTTTCTTGCCTAAATGTAGAACCTTGCTTTTTTCACCATTGAATTTCATTTTGTTAGATAGTGCCCAGTGTTCAAGTGTGTCCAGATCCTTCTGTATCTTAAGCCTGTCTTCTGG